ACCGTTTTCATGGCATCAAGAGAGGCCACCATAACTCTTGAATGGATTAACCTAGGAAAGCAATTCTTTGACAGCTGTTCTCCCATACATGTATGTAGCCCTTGGACAAAGGAGAATATACTGAGCAGGGTGCGTGATTTTCTGAATTAGCTGAAATGACAGGTGGTGTTTTAAGAAAAAAGAGAGTAAAAACTTAATTTTCCCAAAATATCAGAAAATATGTGTTGTTTTTTACTGCATAACTTGCATTAGTGTTGAAGACATGACTATTATGGTTGCTGTCAACCAATTTAAAGCAACCCCAAACATGGCTGGAATGTGGAAATAGCAGTTTATGATATATACCTTCAGCTGAAAAAGTTTATGAAATGCCAAATGAGCTCAACGAATGAATTTATCAACACGTTAACATGTGCAAGGTGTCTTGAAATTAAAACAGGAAAAGGTTTAAGCCTTGAAATTAACATTTTCTTTTACCTTTATTCATACTCTTTAGCCAAACATGGTTTATTGATATAACAAGTTTCATTTTTGACCCCTCATGAGACTTTTGCAACCTTTACAGTGAAACTTCCCCAATATTCAGTTGAAAAAGGACAGTTTTGTGTGACGTCAAAATAGGAAATGTCTTAACTTGGATATGGGTATTATACCCTCTTTAAGAACTGTAAGATTTGTATAAACCTTACAGTTCTGGAAGCAATGTAAGTGGTAAATGAAGACAACGTCCAACCTAAGGCTGAGCTAAGGACTACCTATACAAAATGCATTAATTGGAAGAAAAACCAAACCAATAAATCATGGCAACTTTTGTTGTACAGACAAAATGTCATACAAGACCTACCTTAGCAGTAGAGATGTAAAGTGGTAACTGGGGATCAACAGAGATGAGAGACTCAGGAAGTACTAAAAAGCTGCTTGTGTGATATTAACCTCATTTATTTCTTTCATTGGAACTCTTGCTCACAACAGAGTGAATTATGTTAGCTTATAGCTACATGTATAAAACTGAACGTGAAGCTTGCTGTGGAGCTCCTTGTCAATCAGTGTTGATCATTGAATGATTCCAAAAGATGATGTATAAGGAATCTAATGTTCACAATTCAAGATACACACTTGGCAAATTTTTAACTGAACACATCCTAATTTTTCTTTGAAGAGAAATAAGCAAATTTTATACTTGATAACTGTAATTATAAAGTGATTTCATTTTACAAATATGGTACATGTACATGTACATGTAAGTCATAATGTCAAAGTACACTGTTGAATTATTTGTATTGGTGACAGAGGCAATTAATTAGTAGTTACATGTATATGATACATGTACATGTACCGGAGGTGATTAGGGAATTAGCCTGTGAGATAACACAAGCATCTTTGAAGGATCTTCTGGTATGTTAACATCTGTTTGCATGAAAATTAAATCACCTGTCATTTCAAATTTCACATCAACATTTTAACAATGAGTTCTTTGATAACTTTTTTTGAACAAAAGAACTAACAAAATCAGCTTCTGCATTGACATGATTGAGCTCGAAAACAGACTTCAGTCAATGCAGATGCATCACACTGAATTTGCTTTAAATCCTTTCAACCTCGACAACATCAAGTCTGGGCATTTGCGTCGCAGAGGGGGGCAAGGTGATTGCTGTCCCCTTTTTCCTTAAAATGGGCATTTTCCCTGTGAAAGTGCTTGCGACACCATGGATCTACATGTACATGCAGAAATTCCTACTACTGGACTGTGAGATTCGAAGGCCAAGTCTCACAGCTCTTCTTTGAGGCTGCATTGCAGACACTGTCAGTGACTGGCATCCAGCAGCTGACCACGTATTCCAACCTTTGAAACACACTCAATATGGAGCCAATCGAGACATCCCTCGCAGAACAACATCTCTTTGGATTCTTGTGGTTTGTTAGAATCATCAGTGATGTAACAAGTGGACCATGTTGCCTCTATCGAACTATTTCTGATATTCACCAAGTAGGTCATGGTGTCGCCCCTATTTGGGGGTTGGCGAGATATATATGTACGCCAGTAGTATGTAGTAACAACTGCCTCTTCTACAAGCTCTGCAAATCTGTTCAAATTAAATTTTTAGGGATCCAGTTCTGCACTCTTTGCATTTCAGCTTGTGAATACTTCTGGTAATTGCCGCTAACTATCGCATGTGCTGCGACACATACAAAGACACCACAATCGTTTCCATTTTTCTGGCGGGGTACATCAGTCGGCACAAAACCATGCCAATCTGACACGGGAAAGGATTTTTTATATGTTACAATAAGAAGAGTCCTGTACATGTTTATGAATGAGACTGCAGATTGCATATTTTCTCCATGCAAGAAGTCCACGATAACCAACTGTCGCAATTTTCTTATTATGACCAACAGTATCCAGTGGTTACCGTGGACTATCACAGGCCAAAGCCAGACATCTTTCTCAAAGATGCAATGAGCAAGGGCCCACTTTATGACAAGTTCTACTTTACCCTCTTCCCATGTGAGAAACGCATGGGAATCTGCAACAAGGAATGTGACAGAGCTGTCAGGAGACTGTTGCTGAAGGTGACACTTGTTTGTAAATGCCAAAATAATGGCTTCTGTTAACCAGCCTGAGGGCAACAGCGAAGCCAAGTCAGTGGAATTTACTTGAAATTGCCCAGTGTTGTTTGAGTGGGACCTGTATCATGGTCAATCCAAGACTCTGATTTAACACTTGGTGTTGATGTTGTCAAAGAAGTGAAGTGATCGGCAAGTGGAGATGGTGGATTGGGAGGGCATGGTGGTGGGGATGGTGGAGAAAAATCATCCATATTCCATGTGTCCTCCATCATACATATAGTTGGTTCTATCGAGTCAGGGGCACAACTGACATCCAGGTCATCAATTCTGGGCTTTTTATGACCAGATCTCTTCTTTTGGTGCTTTGACCTCCTTAATCTAGACAAATTGATATGTCTTGTATCGGTTACCTCAGGAGCCAATCTGACAGATACCGGCAGGCAGCATGTGATCATGGTAACAGATACAGTACCCTTTTAGAGGAAAGGGCATGATTCTTTGGGGAAAAGCGTTACAGAATAGAAATTTCCCTTTGCTCCCCTGCACTAGGAAAACACTCTGCCCAGCAACACACGTGATTTTTTGTTTTGGATGACCATCTTGGCCAGACTTACATTTACATGTACATGTAGCTGGCTCTTGAAGCTGCTGCTGTGGGTGGGATTTCGTGCTCGAGTCAGTTTGGTGTCCGTCATGGCTTCAACAACCGTGTCTGGATTGTTTTCCGTGTATGGAAATACCATGTTGGGATCACTGCGTTTGAGCTCACTGCTCTATTATTTTCTTCCAGCAAAAGTTTTTACCTAAGGAACAAAACCAGCGCAGGATTTCATTGTAGTAGTAGTTTTGGAGATAGAACAAAATCAACACAATATTGTCTTGACTGACTTCCTTGCATACTAGTACACGTTTCATTACTGCGTTAAAGCTCTGGCTTTGGTTTGTTGTCATGCCAGAATCCTCTGTATACCCCCCCAGCCGTTCTAGAACCCACTTGCCGCGGACGACATTATTGCAGTTTCAATCTTGAGGTCAAGATAATTGATAAATGCCTCAACTGTACCTTCAGTACCACAAACCTGAAAGTATTTTTCTTTGGTGTTAGACAGAAGAAGTTGCTTTCCCTCCATGTTTTAGTGATCCAGAATTTGACATCAAAGAGGATGTGGTTCCAGCAGCACATGCTATTAGCCCAGGGTCATTTGCATTGCAAGGCATTGACAATACTCTTTTCGCAATTGGTTACAATGAGGGGCTCACCTTTGCGTAAGTGAGGGCATTGCGTCTTGACAACCTCAAAGAAACCCTGCGATTTGCTTCCAATTTTTTTCATGTATCAAGACAGCTACTGGAATCAGTGGTTCACTGGCAAAAGAGCCATGTTTCATAGTAAGTGCAGCAACATAAAAGTCACTCAAGTTGAATGTGGTGTCACACGGTATGAGACTACAAGTGTATCCTCACATGTGCTTAATCTATTAAGTTCATTGAGAAGTTCTTGCAAACCAATGCAAAGAACCAATTCAGGAAGCATCAGGAACTGGTGTATGAAATCACCAAGTTAAGTTCGTACACATTGTGTATTTCATTATAAGACAGCCGGCCCTTTAATTTCTCAAATTTCACTTTGTTCCTCACCTGTGCAGTATCCTTTTTAGTGCAGCACTGGCATGTTGAAAGAGGGCACATTTGTGGACATTAAATCCCTGTACATCTGTTGAGGATTTCTGTGTACTGTACCTGCTTTCTTGGCTACAGGTCTTTCAGCTCTGAGGGACATGTTCTCACATATGGACGGGTGGGCTGTTTCTTAGAATTACCAAGAGAAGGGATGGATTCCTTTGAAACCGCTTCTTCATTACCAAGATATTGTATCAAGACAAATGTGGTTAGACCATACACTACATGTATCTGATGTGCATGCCTAGTAATTGTGTCTGGACCACCAGAAGAGTAGTAGGCCTACCTGTACATGTATGTGACTTTTGTTGTATTGTTGGAAATGATCAGAAAACATAACAAATCGGAGTGTTGCACTTTAATTGACTCTATTTAAACCAGTAATTGCTTTTTTGTGTGGAAGACTTTAGTTATAAACTATGGAAAAACTGTAATTCTGCTGTGAGCTTTGTCCAACCATAAATAACCTAAAATATGGTACTGTACATGTACCTAGTACCTCCCCAAGAAGATGTACAACTTGTGGCCCTTAGGAAGTGCAGGCACTGAGAAATTGGTATCTTTGCTAAAAATTCTATGATTCCTGTGGTCTTTTTGGGTTGAGTCTTGACTTGGTTGCCAACCATTTTGTCTTCAGACTTCTGTTACAACCAGTGGTCTTTATTGATCAGCCTTTTTGATTACAAAATCTTGGTAAATTATTTTTTTGAGTAAATAATTGAATCCACTGTAATTTTCCATTTTCTACCTAGACAGCTGTTAACAAGTTAACATCCAGCCTTTTCCTACCAGTACTTATTCATCTCTTTGCCATCAACCTTTCAAGATTACATCACTAACTGATTAAAAGAAGAGTTACAATGTACAGTATGCATCCAAAAATTGGTAAGTTTATTTCCATTCCTGGGCAGTGTAGGATTTTCATCACAGTTCATCAATGAAAGTATTTGAGTTTCATTAATTAGTCCTGAAAATTTATTTTCCCTTTGTCTCAGTCACAAAAATAAGAGGGAAAAGTTTTAATTTATTATATTTTTGGTCAATTGCACAATGTTCCTTTGTTCCCCACTCATCAAACTTGTCTTTCTCATCTTGAGAAATTTGTGGATAACAGTTCAAATGACCTCATAGGGATGTACTTTTTCTGCTTGTGCATCAAAACCAACCCTGCAAAATCATGCTTCTGATGTGTTAAACTGTGCTTTGTCGTAGGGTTGGCTGATTTAAATCATGATGGTTTAAATCACTGATTTTAATCACAATTTCAATCCTGTAACTTATTTGAACAATTACATGTACTGATTTAAGGCACTCTTTTGTAAATACCGGTAGCTCCTTTTCCAAAGCAGTTAAACCAACCGACTCTTTTTAATTGCCAAGAACAACATCTTATAGACACATTCAGATAGCTCTTCATTTCATCAGCACTTGACTGAACAGAACTTTGGATTTGAACAAAGTTGTTTAATATTGTCACAGGAAATGTGTGAGGGTCATTTGATTATCTGTCAAGTCAAGTGTCTTTTTGAGAGACTGTGTATGAAGAGTGAACTTTTTACACTCAAGCATGAAATGCTACTGAAAATCTTCAGTAGTACCGCATGAATCACAGATGCTGTTATCAAGGCATTTGTTATGGAGGAGTCAATTGCAGCCTGTACATGTACCGGTACATGTACATGTACGTACATGTACATGTACCTACCGGTAGACAAAGTCTGTTGGGCAGTTCCGTATGGGAATTGAGAAAAATGGCAAATTTTAAAGCTGATGGAATGAAAATTAAATTTACTGTGCATTGTCAGTAAATGTACACCTGGCACGGAGCCAAAAAATGTTTTTGAAATGAGGCAAAGTAAAAAAACCATGTTTCTCGTCCAGATTTTTGAAAAAAGAAAGGAAGTGGGGCTTTTTATTTTGTATTGTTTTTAAAGATGGCCGCCATTTTAAAATTTCCAGCAACCGTTAGTACATGTATCCACTGTTCAAAGACATGTTAAAATGAAAGACAAGTTGGACAAAAGGACTGAACATTTACAGAGTTGTTTAGTGTTGTATTGGTCTTCAATGAACAGGTTTAGATGCATTTGTTTTAACAGCCAAAAGTCAAGATTGGTGCGTACACGCCAATCTATAAATAAAAATGTGTTTGTGTTTTTCAATAAACATGTGAAGATTTGTTAAAAATATTTGAGGCAATTTTTTTTCTTTACATTTTGTCGGTTTACTTTTGGAAGTCTTATTTTTCTACTACTGAGATTTTACCTTTGGACCATGCCCCAGAGGTTGGTTCCACATGGTTGACTAGAAATGGTCAACTACCTTGCATTCGAATATGGTCAGTCCAACTGTTGTTAACTACACTTACACTGTACATGTACACATACATACACTGTACATGTGTACATGTACATGTACATGTAGCTTATATGGTTGAGGTGAAATCACTCTAGATGTCTGCATTGTAGTTGACTGCATTGCAGTTCCTCATTGTAATAATACATACATGTACATGTACATGTTACTGCATTGACACATGCACATGTATGGACAATTATATTGTGATTTCACAGCACATTACATATAGGTTATTCAGTGAATTCAGTTTGTGTAATTCCGTTACCATGTTTAATGTACATGTATGCCGTTGGATACATGGAACAAGTCCTACCCCACAAACTGAAGGAAGCAGTTTGAAGCTGGCAAATGTATTTGAAGCAACTGCATTGTTTCTGATCACAACTCGGGGTTCAGAAGTTGGAAATTTCATGTTCTTTTCCAATACACCCTTGTTGCTCATGTACATGTACATTG